CAGCTGTAAAATAAGTATACCATCACCTGCCTCATGGGGTTATTGCAGGGGTTGAATAAGACAGCATTCAACACCTGGTATGAGATGCTAAGTAAACCTTAGTTTACTCCTCTCCTTATTAGAATACCCCCAAATGGGCCAAATTGTTGGGCAAATTGCAGCATATAAATACAGCAAAACTGAAGACCATCAAAATGAAAATAATTTCAAATGAAGCTACTTTCCATTCATTCTTTCAAAAACTCTTTACTGGCGGTCCAGGAGTTAGGAGTTAGTGCTTTCATTGCAGTGACCCAGGTTCAATCCCTGGTCAGGAAACTGAGATCCTGCAACCTAAGTGGTGGAGAGGGGCGAAGAGGAGACTATTGAGCACCACATCTGGAAGGCATTGTTGCAGGCACTCAGGATATAGGTGTGAACATGACAATCTCTTTCCTCAAAGAACATCAGAGTTCCACTCAAAACATTCAGTGAGTAAAGGATTAGAACTCTTAGCACGCTGAGAATCCATGTCATCTGGCCCCTACCTTGAACTGATTTATTCTGTTAACAATTTCTCATGTATCTTCCACATGCATACTTCGAGCCATGAAGGCAGGGACTGCGTTTTAGTTACCCTCTATTCTCAGAGTTCAATCCTCACAATTTTCACCCACTAGATTGGTTACTTATTATGTTATTCATTCACTCATTTAACAAGTATTTATTAAGCATCTTCTATATGTCAGATGACATACTAGGCCCTGGGAATACAGCAGTTGTGAGGAAAATGAAATATAGCGCTTGGTCCCAGGGAGTTTATAGACTACTCTAATAGAGGAGTCTAGGAAACAAAGACTTTAACCAAAGGTATATATTCTACCTACAGATTAAACAACCTAAAAATGAAAATTTTTTAACTCTTTAAAAAAAAAATCTTATGCCAAAATACTTACAGCTCAAAAGCATCTGAAGTTTAGAATCTTACAGCATATACTCAAAGTATCTATAAGCTAAAACAAATCACGACCTATTAATTTTAACATAGCTTTTCTATTGTTTGACATAAGCCACATACAACACTTGCCTCTCTAAAAATTGTCTAATGCGTACTTAAATAAAGTTAGCACATTTTACATACGGTTTTCCCCCTACCTTTGTACTTCCATAGAACTTTTTACTGAAAATTCTGTATGTTTTTTACTCAATGACTCATTTTTCACAGAATTCTCCCCCAGAGCAGACACATAACAGAAACATAAAACATTCCTAGTACAAGATCAAAAACCCAAATATCAAGAAACCACTCAGGAACATACACAAATGAAACCTCATTATGTGTCCAAAAATAAAAGGCCAAATACATAACTCAAAATAATGCGGCACTTTCCTAATGTGGAACCTTAAAGAGACAGGATCACTCCCCATTCAGGTGCAGACACTGGTTGGGCTCCTTACTTCTTATAACAAATGTTAATCCTACCACCTGTCCACTGAGCTTTCAGAGGTTACAGATTTACCTATAATCAGTATGTAGAAGACATGCAATCAAGGATGTATCCAAGGATGGTTAAAAAGATTATCTGCCAAGGAAAATGACTTGAAGAACTAGTATGCATTCACTTCTACAAGTGTAAATTTCATCCATGACCTAAAAAACTGCAAGTCTATATATCTGGACTACAGAAATGGCCAACAAATGAATCTTTTTTAAGTTTCATTTTCAGTTCAATCCTGGATATAAGCCTATGAACTTTATAGCTGCTTTTAGTTCAAAACTGTGACAGGGGAAATTGTTTTACAACATTACACAACGCCACCTATGGTGCTCCATATGAATTTGACATAAGGAAAAATTTGCTCTACTCTGAGGAACTTGTATATTTCTCTACTTATCTGAGAGTTATATATATGGTTATATTTCCCTCTCAGACTTCTTTTCCAGGTTTAACCCTCAACTTCCACCATGCAGCTTCTATTACTCTTGCAAATAAATGAATGTCGGAAAAGAAAAAGTACAGAATGATAAAAGAGCCTATTAAAGAAGGCCTGAGAGGTTTTTTCCTAAAAAATAAAAATCAAGCAGATTTACCTACAGTTACTCAAGATAGTATTTTGATTCTCTCAACTAAGATTCAAAAAGCACAAAAAGCTAGTGACAAGCCAAAAGTATCGACAAACAGGCCTAAAAGAGATTTAAAAAACAAAGGAGTTGAAATATTTTTTAAAAGCTGCTTTCCAACTCTGACTACAGCATGAGTTTGCTGCAAGTGACCCTTAGCAAATAAATGCTAATTAACTGACCTCAAAGAGGTCAAGTTTTATACACGCTAAACAAAGCCAAGTATACAGGAGAAATTATTACACAAGAAACTGCAGAGTACAAGTCAACTTGACATTAAAATAGTGTAGGCACAAAAAAATTATTCCAATAACCTACAGTATGTATCATCTTTATTTCACCACCCTACACACACTTGGGGAAAAGGCAAAGCTATGACAGCTCATGGTCCTAAGGCTTTTTAGAGCAAATAAAATGTCTCTAGACACAGTGGATCAAATAGTCTAAAATGAGAGAAGACAGATGGGGTGGGGGCAGGGGTGAAATAAGCATCACCTGTAAAGTGAAGAACATCACACAAAAATAGAAAAGGGGGAATCACTTCATTTCATATCAAGAGGAATACATCTCTTACTACACAAATGTCTCCTAAATCAACAGCACAAGCAACCCCATTTTCCACCAAATAAGTCTTTATAGATATTAGCAAATATCTAAGACACACAGACATAGAGGGTGCCTTTTAAGTACACCAGAAAGGGTGAGTCAGGAATGCTAAATTTTTGCAACAGAAAAAAACTTGAAAGGAAGAGCTTACCAAACCCAAATCAACCCATTTCAGAAAAATACAGCAAAGAAATACACTGCATGCTTCATAAATATACAGTCTATAAACTTACATTGAGAATTATAATTTACCCTCTTCTAAAGGACCAATCACAATACAGGATTAGTAAATATCCTAAATTTCTCAGCGAAAGCAATTAGATCATTCCATCATCTACTCGGATCAGAATACAAATCTTCTTAAAGCAGAAAAAAAATATTTCATAATAAATATTCATTGGCCTGTTGTTCATGGTCTTTATAAGCCATTTTGAAAGGTTCTTTGAAACTGTTTCATTAGTATCTCTCTGGAAAGAGCTCTAACATCTTTCATTCTTCTAGCAATTTAAAAGCTACCACATGTTCATTTCCACGTTAGATTATTGATTCCTTGCCTTTTAACATCTCCATAACAGCTGCTTGACAAATTACCTCACCTCATTCCTCAGGGGGGTAAGGACAGCATAATATCCATGAATTCAAAAATGGAACCACAAAATGATCAGTGACAGATGAGCTAATTGCTTCAGATTGAGACACTGCTCTAGTAGAGAAGGCATTCATAGCATGATACAATTAAATGCTTACACTCTAAATATTTTATTTGTACTTAAGGGTACAGGGAAAACCTATCTTCCTTTTATTTTAAAATAGATGTTAGCTTCAGAAAGTCAGTAAGCTTATATGTGTTTGGAATAATTTCGACAGAAAGTCGAGTTTTCAGAATAATTATTCTGAATAGTGTGCACAACTTTCAGACTTAACTTTCTTATTTCAACCTAAGAGAGCTGTAAGACCCAAAATAGTTTACTGATAGGGCAATTTTAAAAATATTTTCCAGATTTTTAGCAAAGTAAAGGCCAAACATATTTTCAAAGATACAACATATTTCAGAAAAGTAAAGTAAAATGTGTCTATTGTATTTGCCTTAGTTCATTCTGATTAGTGTCAGAACTGTATGAGATACAGAGAAAAAGCATACACAAACATAATCTTATAAACCCCCATAGAAAATATTGCTTTCCTCCCCTAAGAATAACAAAATGGTGTGGATTTAAAGGAGTTATTTTAAATGAACAATGTCCAGTCAAATTGCTCTTAGAAAATCAGCCTTCCTCTAGACAGAAGCAACACACTCTTTTCTAAATTCGTAACAAATCTCATAACACAACCTTATCGATTCCTTTAAAGTGATAAAACATATGTGCTAGCTTAGAGCTTTACCTTATAATAAATTTCGGTATCTACCACTTTAAAAAAAAAATACTAAATCATCACCGGTGTTCTTCAAATGTCACTTTCGCAGTAATGGGACAACGGTGGTGTTAACTCACCTTTTATAAACTATACGTATTACCCGGACGGAGACATCCAAGAAACCAAACAATTTGGAGATGATAGTGCCTACTACCAGTAATATTCGACATGTTTCTTAAGACGTGCCCCTTTTGCGACCTTAAGCCTCTACTAGAAAACTCTACCGAGTCCCTTCTAGAACCCTGGTTAGCGGGCTGGCTGATTCCAGACATCACGTTTGATCGCTCCTGCCTGGAGAGGCGATAGTGTTGATTTTGTTTTTAAAGTTGCTGTCAGAGCAGCTACAAACTTTTTTCAGCATCCCTGCCTGGCTGCCAACTGGAGCTCTCCGCTCACTTCCTCACCAACTTGAACCACCCCCAAACAGTTTGAGAGTAAGCTGGAGTCAGACACCGGCAGGAGCTGACACACTTCACAAGAAGGGTTTGACACCGCAGAAAACTTTCACTTCTCCTCTCCAGCCCTTCCGAACGGGGACTCTGGCCCCTCGCTCATGCTCCCCTAGAATTCCTCTCTCAGGCCGGACAAGGACACAAGAAAGCAGGCTGTTCTGATGTCCCCGAAAAGACAACCCCCCCCTCCCCCGCAATAACCCTCACCCCTGGACTCAAGTCCCGTTCTTCACACAAAAGAGCGCGGCCAGCAGAGCTGTCGCGGCCCTACCTAGCCGGCTGCCACCCTCCACCGCACCCGCAGACCAGGTCTCCAGCCGCCCGAGCGGTCCGCACCGGAGGCTTCCTGCCCCGACCCGGCCAGACAAAGCCCCGGCGGCCGGGCCAACCTGCCAGCCTCCGGACTCGGGCCGCCGCGCTCTTACCCGGGCCTCATCCAGGGCGACGCCGGCGCCGCCGCTTCCCCCGGCCTTGGCGGCGGGGCAGCTGGCAGCACGGGTCTTGGAGGAGCGGGTCCGAGAGGAGATGAAATGGCTGCTGCCTCCGGTTGCCCCGGGCTCTACTCCGGCCCCAGGCCCAGGCCCAGGCCCAGGAGACTTAGATCCGAGAAGGCGCAGAGAGCTCTTCCGGGTGTTCACCATGGTCCAGCCAGGAGGACGGGGTCCACGCCGCACCCGCGGCGCCCGCCGCGCCGGGGAGACCGAAGGAAGGCCGGCCCGCTGGCCGGGCAGTCAGGGCCAGTGGAGCCGGGCCGGGAAAGACAAGCCGAACCAGACTCCGAGGAGCGCAGACGGAGACAGGCGAGAGCAGGGCAGAGGAAGAGAAGTCGGCGTGCGAAGACAGGTAGCGGGAGACGGGAGCGATGCCCCGGGCAGAAGGCTCAGACTCTCTGCCGGCTTCGCCCTCCTCAGCGGGAGCCGAGCGGAGCCGCCATTTCTGCCCCTTTCTCTCCCGTTCTCGCTCTCGAGCTCCGTGCGTCAGGGCTCCGGCGCCGCAGGGCCGACGAGACCGCTTCCGGCCTGGCCGCTGCGGGGCGCTGCAAGGCCGGCCAGCCCTTCTCTAGCCGGCTTTTCCCTCCTCTTCCCCCGCCCCTCCAGTAGGCCCCTCCCAGCGGCGCGCTGTCAGCGCTCGGCGGCCACGGAAGGGACGCTCTGGGGTGTTAGCTCTATGGTTTCCAGGTCTGGCCGGCCGCCGAGGAAGTGAGGATGAGAAAAACCAGAATGTGCTCGGGGCGAGTTAGCGCGCTGGAGTCGGTCGTGGAACCTTCATACCCGGCCAGGCCTGGCTATCCCAGCATGCCCACCATCACCCCCAGGTGCCCTGGATGGAGCCAGAAAGGACTGGCAAAGGCCGAGGATAGAGGGGGACCGGTGAAGACGAGGGCGTGGTGACCTGAGTGGGAATCCCAGGGACCCCAAGGCAAGACATTGAACTTGAGTCGTACTTTTCAGGACTACAAAAATGTGAATGATAATTGTGATAAAAACAGATCTGTGTCGTATCTGGCACATGGTTAAGCTTAAGAAAGAACTAACGCTAGAACCCTGCGTCTTTAAACAAAGCAAGGCACTGTCGTTTTCTGTAACGTTAGCCAGACTTAAGGCGGAGTCCACGAAGAATGAATTCTTCTAAGAGCTTCCACTGTTTTCTGCCCGGGCAAGAATTAAAAATACAAAAAGCTGAACACAAAGATACAAAATGTGCCATTTAACTTTCACAGAAAAAGATTAAGGGACACAATATGAAAAGCTATTCTTTGTAAATAAGAATTATATTCATTTCCAAAAATTGCCTCACCTATCAAAATTGAAGACTCGAGAAAAGTCTTGTAAAAATCAGCAAGCTGCAACAAAATTAGAGAATTCCAGCCATCCAAGCTAATTGTTCAACAAAACTGTATAATGCACTGGGAATGGAAATGGTTTTTCTGTTGGAGAAGCAGTACAGATTCCAGGAAAGCAGAGAAGTCTCTCTTACACTAATTTGCATACCACACCCTCCCCAGAACACTTCACCCACTATTTAAAACCCGATTCTTGGGTATGGAGACCTCATAATACAAGATTTCAGTTTTCCTGTGTCAACTAGCTATGAGATCATTGAACAAAATAAAGTTTCATTTCCTCCAGAAAGAATCTGGCTTTATTATTCAAAGTATCCTGAAAAGGTGTATGGTATGCAAATTAGCAGACAAAGGACTTGCTTCTGTATTTGTTTCTGTAGTCCTAAACTGAGAAAGTCAGATTGTTATTTGAGTTACCACAACCTAGATCAAACCAGTCAATCCTAAAGGAAATCAATCCTGAATATTCATTGGAAAGACTGGGTGCTGAAGCTGAAGCACCAATACTCTGGCCACCTTGATTTGAAGAGTCGACTCACTGGAAAAGACCCAGATGCTGGGAAAGACTGAGGGCAGGAGGAAAGGAATCAACAGAGGATGAGATGGTTGGATGGGATAACTAATCCAATGGACATGAGTTAGAACAAATGCTGGAAGTTAGTGAAGGACAAGGAAGACTGACAAGCTGCAGTCCATGGGGTCACAGAGTCAGACACAGCTTAGCTAGAGAACATCAAAAAAATGACAACAATGTTGCCTTTTTCCTTCCAGCTTCAATATTGGCTACACAAAAATTACCAATTTTGTAAGTTTGTTTTTTTAATACATGCTATTGTAACAGCTGTCATGATACAATCTAACAAAATTGTTTCAAATGAAGTTAAAGGCAACTAAGTGCTACTAGGGAAAAAAAAAACTATTTGTTTTTTGCTAGAAGTAACAAATGTGTACAGCTACAGCCTAACAGTGGATACAGTCTCAAGTGAGGATACTTGCCTAGCTTTGTAATATTAACATAACTTCATAAGCTTATTAACTATCTTCAGTGATCCATTCCTTTCACAAACAAAATTTACTAACACCTATTAATGTGTTGGGCTTCTCTTGTGCCTCAGCTGGTAAAGAATCTGCCTGCAATGAGGGAGACCTGTGTTTGATCCCTGGGTTGGGAAGATCCCCTGGAGAAGGAGAAGGCTCCCCACTCCAGTATTCTGGCCTGGAGAATTTCATGGACTGTATAGTCCATTGGGTCACAAAGTCAGACATGACTGAGTTACTTTCACTTTCACTTTCATTACTATGTTAAATACTAAATATATTTGACCATTAAACGGTCCTTCCTTCAAGAAACTTAATGCTCAACTCCTTAAATCAGACAGTAAAAGGCATATAAGACACTTATTGGAAGAAAAGCTATGACAAACTTAAACAGCATGTTAAAAAGCAGAGACGTCACTTTGCCAACAAAGGTCCATATAGTCAAAGCTATGGTTTTTCCAGTAGTTCTGTAAAACAGTACCTTAACTGGGCTTCCAGGTGGTGCTAGTGGTAAAGAACCTGCCTGCCAATGCAGGAGACATAAGAGACATGGATTCAATCTCTGGGTCAGGAAGATCCCCTGGAGGAAGGCATGGCAATCCACTCCCATATGCTTTCCTGGAGAATCCCATGGACAGAGGAGCCTGGTAAGCTACAGCCCATAGGATCACACAGAGTCAGACACAACTGAAGCGACTTAGCACATACCATTTACTGTTTATTCGAACCCTAACTGGTGTCAGATACTCTGTCAAGACCAGGAAACACGGAGGGTTGTTTCTTGTTGTTGTTTTTTATTAACAATATACTTCTGGCCCTCAAAGAGCTCACAGACAAGAAGGGAACAGAGACAGGCAAGGAACCAGTAAGCTGCCAAACAATGTGATTAGAAAAAATAAGGCAGAAACTTCTAATTCAAGCAGAGTTTAGAGAAAGCTGAGAAGTGATGACTTCTGAGATGCATCCTGAACCACAAAATGAAGAAAGAAAAAATGGGCCCCAAAAAATGAAAGTTTGAAGAAGATATGAAAGAGTTGCTTGTTTTACACAGTATAGAGAAAATAACTGAAAAATCAAGTAAAATCATTTTTTAAGCCTTACTTTAAACTATATGAGCTGGCAAGATGCTAAAGAATACTCAGACCAAAAACTAAGTCACAAGAGGAACCCAGACAAGCAAACAAAGCTGTAAAGACAGCTTTCACTTTCAGTACATTTGCTCAACTCCAGTGAGCTTGATCTATTTTTCTCTGCCTACGGAAGATAGACAAAAGACAAAGTCCAGAACCTGCTTAAGTTACAGAATCTAATGTGCCTTGCAAAATCCTGGTACAGAAAGGATATATCTGAGAAGGGTGAATTAGAAATAAACCAACCAGAACTTCCTTGGTGGTCTAGCAATTAAGAATCCAACTTCCAGAGCAGGGGACACAGGTTTGATCCCTACTCAGGGAAATAAGATCCCACATGCTGAGGGGCAACTAAGCCCTGGGTCTCAAGTACTGAGCCCAAGCACTCTGTAGTCCTCACAATAAAACTAGAGAAGTCCATACCACAATGAAGCTCCAGCATAGTGAAAAAAGAAAAAGAGAAAAGAAATCAACCAGCCTTCCTATCACTATTCTCCAGGAAGCTGTAAGAACTGTCTTGCCCAACATCTACACTAAGAATGAGAGGGGGAAAAAACATATCCCTTAAGAATTCAAAACAACAAACCAGCCCTCAATTATAGCCTAAAGTTACCAAATCTGATAGTATGAAACCTCAGGTTAAATCAAAAGATCCTAAGCACAAAGCAACGGTTAAATGTAAATTATCTCCAAAAAAATGCACCTTCAACAGGATATGCAAATATATATAGTCTCATGAACATGACTCAGTAAAAAAAAAAAAAGTCATCAAAAACAGCCAACATACACACACACACACACACAAAAGCCCAGACAGCATAAAAGAATAAGACCCACAATTTTATATTGATTAGAAATATGTAACATGGACTTCATCAAATATAAGATTTTCACTCAGTGAATGGCCTGGTAAAGATTATGAAAAGCAAACAACAGACTGGAAAAAAAAAAAAAAATTTACAAATCACATATCTCACAAAGGACTCATCTAAAATATAAAAAGAACTCTCAAAATTCAACATTAAAAAAACAAACAATCCAATTAGAAAATGAGGAAAAGATCAGAAGAGCTACTTCACCTGAGGATATATAGATGGAAAATAAGAATATAGAAAGATTTCAACATCACTAACCAGTAATGACATGCATATTGACACTATGATGAGTTATTATTACATACCTATTAAAAAACTAAAATAAAAATCAGAGTTTTTTTAAATTTACCAATGCTGGTGAAGAGGTAAAGAAACTGGATCATTCAATCATTGCTGGTGAGAATGCAAATAGTACAGCAAATCCAAATCTGAAAAACAGTTTGCCTGTTTCTTAAAAATCTAAATACAAACTTACAATACAGACCAGCAATTGCAACCCTGCATATTTATTCCAAAGAAATAAAGAGTTACATCTACATAAAAATCTGTAGACCGTAGTTCATGGCAACTTTATTTGTAATAGCCAAAACAAACAAAAAAAAAGTTGCTCATAGGTCAGTGGTTAAACAAACTTCAGTGCATCCAAAACACAATACTACTCAACAATAAAAAGGAATTAACTAGTGATATATACAAAAGCTTACAAATCTCAAATGCATTAAACTTAAACAGAAGGAAGGAAATAATATACATAT